TTCCTGCTTAGATTTCTTCATAAGGTGAAAGTATGCTTCAACATTCAAAGCAGTAAAATTGCATCTAGGCTAGGAAAGGGGTTTGGTTTTTTTTGTTTTTCCTTTCCTTTTGGAGCATGTCATTATCTCAGCAGTTATCACAAGCCTAAATAATTTTTGCCTCCCTTTACGTGCATCTAATATTTTTCAGAAGAGTACAAAAGTACTGGGGGAGAGGGACTAGACCACTTACACATTTTCCTTGTTCTTGTTTCAGGAGAATTGATTGCATCTCCATCTTACAGGACATAACTTCTGTGGAAGTTGAGGCAGAAGAGTACTGCTCACATGGCAACTTTTGAGAAGGAAAACTGTGTATCTCATAACTCAGTTTTGCTGTAGTGGTTTTGGGGAAACATCACAGGCAGAACGCTTACTAGCTTTACAATCAATCCTTTAGCATGGTACAGTTAACATTTAAATAACTTCATGTCTTCTGTTTCTATCTGACACAACATGCACAACAGTAAAACTAATACTATTGCTTCAATGATCATTTCCATACCCATTTATTACGCATTCAGACATTAAAGAGAACAGTAATGTTCAGAATCTTACATAGTCCAAATTAAGTATGATTCAAAATCCTGGTTATTTTTTCAGTGCTCAAGACTCTCAAAAAGAATCTACAACATTAATAATTCTATCTCTTTTTTTTTTTCTTCTTGGTCTGAAGTCTAAGAATGATAAATTTTCAAAACCAAAAATTTGACATCTTCCTTCTCTGCAAAATAAAGCTTTCCCTGACACATACTGTAAAAAATATTAATTTTTCTATACATCAATCCTAACTCATAGGCCAATTATCTTTTTGAATCCCAAACCAGCATTCTTCTTTGGAAACTAAATAGGCAACTAGTGAATTATGAAAAAATTCTAACATTCATATATAAATCTTAGACCAAGAGAGAGATTAAAGCAGTAGATACAGGAAAATTGTGACTTGGGACCAAATGGTTTTGTAAGTATTAACAAATTTTTTTTGTGGGTTTTTTTTTTGTAATAAATGACTACACTTTAAAAAATATTTATTTTTAAAATACAAATTCATTAAAAGTATTCTGACAGATGGTCTTAATATTTCTGAACATGTTGATTTCTTTGGTGAATTTCATGACAAATATTGCCATTAGAAGAGTTAAAGAAATCTGTACATACTAAATAATCTGGCACTTGGAAATGTCCACAAATCCAGAGGTGAGGATACAGTGGAGTTTATCAATGGCATGACTTAAAATGTCATTTAAAAGTGCAAATTTTACCAATTCAGTTATTCAGCAGTCTCACTGATGATGCATTAATATTACTGGCTGGTAATAAATACAAAATATTTACTACTTTAGTCAGATGGACTATTCTAGTTTAAAGTAACTACAAGAAATATTTTTAAAATGCAATAAATTCATAAGCTTTCCCTTTTGTTAAGGACCTGTATTTTAATCTCATTTTTTCTGTTAAGAAGTCTTGTTGAATTTTACAAACATGAAGAACTGCTACTGTTGTGGATATATATATAAAGACTAACTTCATTAAATCATATTTGTGATTATTCTTGTAACAGCACGTATAGGGAAGGGCACTGGTTCTCCCTTGACTTAAAGGGCTTCTGCGCACTTTGCTCCTCACCCTAGCACATTGCTGATACCTTACCACCTTCTCCTAATTTGAGCATAGGGGGGAAAAAAAAGATGTTTTCTTCTTCCTATATGAGACATTTAGGACCCCAAAATAATTTTCCCCTAAATTACTTCTTCCTTGGGAAAACACACTTCCCTTGAAGAAAAGAAACCGTTAATGACTATGTCATGTCCAACTACAAAATGCTGAACTTTCCCTCATGTCCTGTCCCCGGGTCTTTGAGCTATTGTGTCAAGTATGAAGCACACTGCTCAACACATATATGTGGTCTAGTATGCCAGTTTTAGAAATTACCACCATGAAAGAGTGGAGAGTGCTAGCTTTCACTAGGTACCTAACAGATCACAATGGTAGGTTAAAAACAAACAATTTAATTACAAAATTGAAATATATACAACACAGTTGCAAACATTTCATAAAACATACATTTACCAGCCTTTGGACGCTATCCAATTTACTAGCACTTAGACCCTTACCTTATATTTCTGTTGAAACAGTCATTGTTATTATGCCTGCTCTGTGCAGTCACAGAATCCAATAAAAAGCATACTTGGGTATGCGTAATCCTTCAAAAATATGGGAATAAATGTGAGCCATCAAAGTAAATTCCTAGTGGATTAGTGCTTGGTATAACACATGTATGGCATCTTTGATATGGTACTGTGAGCTTTGAAGGGTTTTTTTTAAACTTCATTGAAAGTATCATGTATTCAAACTACATGGCTCAATGTTCATGCTTAATTTACTTCCACTGACGATGGGTTTGTTTTAACTGAAAATCTTTTGTTGGCTATTCTGATTTAAAACTCTCCTTTGAAAACCAGAATTGTTATCTGAAAAAATCAGCATCTGACAATTACTACTGAATATACTTCAAAATAGTAATGCACTGGAGAACTAATTGTCTCTTGGATATACTTTCCTAACACTAATATATATATTACAATAATTAGCATTTGTTCACCATTTTTTCAGCTGAAAGCAGAAAAGTCTTAGTTTGGAAAATCAATTAAAATATTAATATAAATTATATTATTCTATTATACTCATTATTTGCGGTCTTGAAACAAAAAATATGTTAAAATATATATTTTTCATTTAGTTATCTCTGCTGTGTTGTCAGGGTGTCATATAATACTGAAAAAATGGCAGAGAAGAATACAAAAAAATCACTAAAGCAACAGAAATACTAGCTTAATTGAATACTCTCTGATTGTCCTTTTTATAAATGTAATTCTAAAGAAAACAAAAAATTTATGGCCCTTAGGATTCAATGGAAAATTACTAGTAGTAGTAGTAATAGTAATCACCATCATTAACATTTTTCTTATGGAATGTATCAGTACTAAGTAACAGTCATTTTTCATTTCCCATTCAGGTGTGTATTATACAAACCTACGCTGCTACAGAATCCCCATTCTAAAAATATCTTTACGTTTAAGCAGACACAGCAGACAAAAGGCAGAAGAGCAGGGCACTAGCTCATACACTTTTTTCTCAGTGGAACGTTCCTATTGGCAAAATGTCATCAAATTCAAAGTAATCTTCATTATAAAAAACAAACAAAAATTAGACATATATGAATAATTGACACATACACATATATGCACAGAACAGACAAAAAGAGTCTGCTTCTAAAATAGCAGCCTGGCAAGCCTGTGAATACCCAGAAAGGCATATATCATAAAAATATATTACTATGGTCATGAGACAGATGTGGGAGTTCAGATACTTCCTCAACACGGCAAGAGAATAGTAAAAATTCTTAGCATGTACTTAAAGGTTTTTATTCAAAAAAGTAATCATGATATTCTACTTCAAAGGCAATCCATCAACTTTTTTTTAAAAAAGATAAGAGAGAGTATTGAATTACAGAATTATATTTTAGTAATAGCATTGAGTGATAGTATGGAAATTGAGTAACTGATACTAAGTCACAACAAGAATGTATTAGCAATTCCGATGATGACTGAAGTACAGAGCGTTGGGTAGCTTACCATAGCAATGACTGCCGCTCCAGCTCCGGCAAGTGCCACAATGAACAAGTGGAATGTCATGTTTAGCTGCAAAGGGGGACAAAGAAAGGGATTTTCATGGTGGTACACTAAACAGAAACTGAACAAAAAGTCAGAATGACGTACGGCAATAATTACCTTGCTGGTGCCACCCTTCTACAAAAGCAATAATTGTTAATACTTTTCCCAAAAGATTGACAACATGACATGACATTGTGCATGTGATTGTTTTGCTACACTACTCATATCAGGGATAAAGCATAATTCCATTTTAAAATAATGTATTAAAATCACAAAATATTAACAAAACTAATTATTTAACAATAAACAGTCTGGCACTTTTTTTTTTTTCAGTTACAATACTACCTTACCAGATCTACAACTGTTTGTGGTGGTTTCTCTAGTGGCAGAGACAGCCTAAGAAAACCCCATTTCCCTTTATTATCTGTAGCTTTCCATCCTCATATGTTGATTTACTTCCCTCACAAATTTGCCAATAAAATTTGTTCATAATAACAAAAAACAGGTTACTTAAATAAAACACAAGTTAGCCACCTTCCTCACCCCATCCCAAACCAAATGATTACACTTGGTTTTAATTTCAATGATCTGGTTTACACAGCAGACAATGAGTGTTGATTGCACAGCAAGGGCTGCATTTTCTTAGATGTATTTTGTAATACAGGCAGGTTTTTGAATAAAGCCAGATTGTGTACCTTCACTCTCAGATTTATTCAAACATAGTAAGACCCAGGGAATCATTTAGCAAAGCACCCTCTGACTTCACAGGGAACAAGATTTAAGCCTCTCTCTTCTTTTTAGATAGATGTACTTCTGTTTGTCTTGCCTTCATCTCTGACCATTTAAAACCAAACCAGAAATCTCAGCTGCACTGAAATAGGTGGCCTTTGGCTAAGGGAATAACTGAAAAGAAAAATGTGAGTTATTATCCTAACATACTTTGGTCAAATCCATTTGAAATCTTTACTCTCCTGTCACAACAGTAACCATAAGATGTTCAAACAGTGATTCATTATAAAGACCTATTCATCGTGCAAGCAGGTGCATTAGCTTTCAAAAACATCTCAGTGAAAATACACATGACAATGGACCTCTTAAAAAAAATACAAATGTATTTAGAAAACAAATGGCTGGGGAGATTGCACTGACTAAATTTGGTACATGGTAAAAGACTAGGAAAAGTACTTGCTGACTGTATTTTCCACTGGGATTTTATTTCATCAGCACAGCTAGAATTAGAACGTTAAGAGTATGAAGCAAACATACATCAGTTACTTCCTACTATAACATATATTACAGATTTGCCAACGATATTATCACATTTATTCACCTCATTGGAGTCACACATCTTGATGAAACTTTCTGATGTGGTGCAAACCTTCTTTTCCTCTCCAATAGTTACAATACCTGGAGCAGAATAAATATTCACAGTATTTAGTATGCCTAGTACATAGCAGCTTACTTCGTATGAGCCAGAAAAGCTAAGAAATACAAATTCTTGCCTGCTTTGCAGAACTTTTTTTAAAAACAAAATCAGTTTTCTGTTGATGATCGCAGAATGGAGCACCTCCTGTATGAGGACAGGCTGAGAGAGCTGAGGTTGTTTAGCCTATAGAAAAGAAAGCTCCAGCGACCCCTTATAGCAGCTTTGCATAAAGGGGCCGTACAAGAAAGCTGGAGAGGTGCTCTTCATCAGGGAGTGTAGTGATAGGACGAGGGGCAATGGTTTTAATCTGAAAGAGGGTAGATTTAGATTAGACATAAAGAAGAAATTTTTTACTGTGAGGGTGGTGAGACACTGGAACATGACAAGTTGTAGATGCCCCATCCCTGGAAGTGTTCAAGGCCAGGTTGGATGAGGCTTTGAGCAACCTGGTCTAATGGAAGGTGTCCCTGCCCATGGCGGGGGGGGGAGTTGGAACTAGATGATCTTTAAGGTCCCTTCCAACTCAAACAATTCTATAATTCTATCATCCTTTCAGCCATCACAAAACTAAAACATCATCTATTTAGTAAAAGCCCTAGTAGTAAACATGCAGTTAATAATTTTTCTGCCATTTTTGAAAATATCTTCATTCCCGATTTTGATCAGCACAATAATCAAAACACCAGAAAATTGTTTTCAACCAGTACATACGCTTACCATGTTGTTCACATACATTCTCTATCCTCAGGTGCTGTATATTGTTTTCAGATGTGTGGATCTGGTACAACACTTCATTTACATGTTATGAAAAAGCACCACCCAAACGTATACCTTATTGTAATTATAGTTTCTCTAGCAGCAAGAATAACTAGAATCTGCTATATTGTTTCCCTTAGCTAATGAGCAGCTACTAAATCAAAGACTAGCTTGAAAAAAACCTGCTATAACTCAGTTATCATGAAAAATAGTACTGGTTTTTCCTATTGGCAATCAGCAGTTTTTACACTGAATTTACAGTTCACAGAATACTAGTGTTCTATGCACATTTAAAATAGAATTAATAATAAAAATTATGCATGAATATTAGCAAAATAAAAGGCCATAGAAAGAAGAATGAATATTCTTGATAAGACCAGTACAGATAATTGTTTTTTGAACTCACCTGTCATGTTGGGTGGGGGGGAATTAGTAAATTAGAAAAAGATTTTTTGTTTCCCTCTTGAAAACAATAGTGTGAAATACTTTGTTTCAGATTTAAGTAAAATGCTTAATATTAACCAAGCTGTTTCATTCCCAAGAAATATAGCATTTTTTAATATCTAAAAATAACAGTTAAAAAAATACTGCAATTTATATCAGGCCAAGGCAACAAAAGAAAACTCAAGGAACTGCCTGACAAGACTGATTACCCAAGGTTCTGTGGGCTGAGAAACCATCGAGGCCAGAACATCTAGATTCAAAGCAGTCTTGCGGCAGAAGGGGATGGAATTACCAGCACCAACATAAGATTTCTCAGGCTGTTTAAGATTCCAAATGCCCTTTTGTCCAAATTTCCCATTCCCCCCAAAAGACACGTATGTGTACATCCCCACTGTACTCTAACCTCCACAGTTCAGGCTTTAGCCCCTGCTCTCTCCACCAGCCTCTTAGAGTGTTACTATTTGTATTGTCATTCTTCATCAAAGTTTTTGCAAGCAATGAATCTTGTCCCGTTGCAATTCACCTCTAGGCTCTGCAGAGACAAATGATAACCTAGGATCTCACATCTCCAAATCAGTGTCCTACCACAAGATTAAAGAGTCATTCTCCACATAAATGACCAATTAAGCATTTTAGAGAAGTTCCAGCAATTCCAAAAGAAGAGACTAAACAGAAGCCCCAGGCCAAATTTTCAGTACTCTGGGAAGATGGACAATGTTGATTCAATTTTGTCAGGCCTGGAAATGCAGTGCGTCTCTAATATACTGCTTTGACTAGCGAGTAAAAGGATAGAAAGGGTTGCTTAACAATTGTTTCAGAAACACCGAAACAGTTCATTTCAGATACATGGAAGCAAAGCAATATGACGTGTTCTTTTGCGAAATTTTGCTTTATATTTAGTGCTCTTCATTCACATACCATATTGGCGAAGATCCAAGCAGAGATTAGCTCCATCCACTACAGTGGCGTTTCGGCAAATGGTCCACAGATTGAAGTACATGTAAACAGGCAGAGAAGTGAAAGCTGTAACACCAAGCCAGGCCAACATAAAGATGTATGTCAGCATAATAAACTGCAGTAAAAGAGGGAAAAACAAAACCAGTTGTAAGTCAGAACTTAACTGATACTTCATTGCAAAAAAGGAACCACAGAGAAGTAACAGATGTATTAATGAGTGTTTTTGCCTGTTTCTTTCCTTAATTTGAATGACAGTTTTGGTCTGAGAGTCAGTCCACGATCTGGTCAAAGTGAGTGACAGAGCACTAACATGATGTTTCTGAAGAACACGCAGTTATGCTTCCAGAAGTGCAAGCTTACTCCACATTCCTGTCATTCCTGGGCCTGTGATTGATGCGAAGCACCGCATCTGAAGTACAGACAGCTGCATGCTTTGTGAAGCACGTCGCTCCCTCTCTCTCATTACCGCTACTCCACAGTTAAGACAAGAGGCCACATGGTTGTTTTTTCCACTATCAATCATGATGTAAAAAATTAGAATGAAATACTATAGCCTTTATTTGCTTTTGCTTTTCAAATCTGGATATTAATAAAAATGAGTCATCATCCATGGCTGCCTCAGAATCTCACTGGCAAATCCATTTTGCATTGAACCAATGAGACAATATATTTGTCATTTTGCTACTGTATTTAGACATATTTGGGGTCTTACCTACAAGGGAATTCGTTATTCAGAACAAACTGAAACAACCTCTGTTAGTAAGAAACCCATTAAATGACATGCTTTGCAACATGTGTTCTCCAAAGGCTACACATTTTGTTTTTTTAGCCATGAGCCTCAGGAGTGTAGCAATCTGCTTGTAGGAGGCATTGAACTCTACTTGCCTTCAGGGCTAGTGGTCATGCTGGCACACCCAGCTTCTGTAAATACCCAGCTATGCTACGTTACTACTCTGATGCTAACCTAAGACGACTAGCAGACACATTCATCAATAACAAATTACCTTTTCATTTTATGCTGTGGAAAGGATATGAAGATGCTACATGGTTAAATGTGGAAGATAAGGCAGCCTCTAAATGTTGAATCCAAATAGCCCCAAGTTTTGATGGCTTCAGAAATGCTGATAAATCTAAACACATTACTGAAACAAAGAAATTTCAGCACACTAACATTTTTATAGCTGCTTACCACAGAAAAACATTGACTCTGAGAATAAGAAATATTTTTGAAAGCTGAATAAGCTAGTCCACAAGCTGCTTAAAATTAAAACTTAAAGAGTACATAAGGGGAAAATGGAAGACATTTTCTAGTTCTTTTTTAATGTAAAATCTCTCACATCAGGTAATAAAGGAAAAAGCCTAATATAAATACAGATTTTATTTACGGAAATCAAATAAGGTCAGACTCAAAAGGATTGTAAATGGTAGTAAAAATTGTTACAGGGCTGGCTTCTCCATGTGGACCTGATCGGGAAAAGCAATCCAATAAACCAAAGGGTTTTAATTTTAGGTGAAGTAGTTTTATTACTTTGAAGGTATGGGATGGACATTCTCAAGCAATATTAGAGAGACCTTAATTTGATTTACTCTAACTCACTTCCAAAGAATATTAAATAAAAACCATTTTAATTCTGAAGAAGTGTATTTACATAGGGATTTAATGTAGTTAATTAATCCAGTTTAAAATTCAATTCAGATTTATTTTCCTGATTGTCCCTAGGTAGATGAGTCTTTCAGCAGTAGTTTGAAAAGCTGGAGAATTTATAGCACTGAAAATAATTACCAGAAGGATGCAGGAAAGTAAAAGATAAAGTGGGACAAAGATTATATTTTTTATAT